AAAATAGATGATCAGTCAAACAGTACAAAAGTTGTTTTTCATCCATAACTCAGTGGACTTTAATCAGCCAAGCAGATACATCTTTTAAAAATAAATGGATACCCTATATAATAAAGAGCTAATATGCTAATTAGACCAAACAGCAGAACAACCATCAGATGACTTTCCGGATGACTATCCAGACGACCTTCTGGACGAAGCCAGAGCTGCAAGGGGCTGTGTGGACTGAGCCCCTTGCATGAATTTCGTGCATCCCCACAGGCAGTAACCATTCTGGTTTCTGTCAGAGCCGATAAGTGAGCCTAGGCCTGAAGTTCACTTAAATGGAATCAACTCTTCCCACATGATGTCCTTTTGCATTTGGCTTCTTCACTTAAACATGATGTTTTGAGATCTATCCACATTGATATGAGCAATGTATGAGTTCCAGTTGCTCCATATCCTTGCCAACATGTAACAGTATTGTCAGTCTCTTTAATTTTAGCTATTGTACTAGGTTTGAAGTAGTATCTCATTATATTTATACTTGCATTCCCCAATGACAATGTTGTATGCCATTCATTTATTGGCCATTTATGTATCTTCTTTTGTGAAAGGATTGTTCATATATTTATACTAGAGGCCCCGTGCACAAAATTCGTGCGGGGGGGGGGGGGTGTTCCTCAGCCCGGCCTGCACCCTCTCCAATCTGGATCCCTCAGGGGATGTCTGACTGCTGGTTTAGGCCCAATCCAGGACCGCTGGCTCCTAACTACTCGCCTGTCTGCCTGATCGCCCCTAACCACCTCTGCCTGCCTGCCTGATCACCCCTAACTGCTCCCCTGCTGGCCTGATCACCCCTAATCGCCTCTGCCTCAGGCCTGCCCCCGGGACCCAGGATTCCTTCCTCTGGCCAGCTGCAGGTACCCGGGAACTGGGCTTCCCTTCCTCTGGCCGGCAGCAGGCACCTGGGCCAGCTGCAGCTACAGGGGACCATGGGTGGATGGCTTTGCCTGGGTAGGCCGCAGGCTCCCGGGACCATGAGTGGGCAGCTTCACCCGGCCACAGCCGCAGGCACCCGAGACCACGGGGCAGGCAGCTTTTCTCCCTCTCCCAGGCCGCAGCCACAGGCGCTGGTGCCCGGGACCGCGGGGCAGTTGGCTTTTCTCCCTCTCCTGGGCTGCAGGCCCTCAGCCCTTGCAGCCGCTTTGGCTTTGTCCAGATGGATGTCCAGAAGACATCTGGTCTAAATAGCATATTACCCTTCTATTAGTATAGATACTTATTCTAGTATATCTGTTGAAAAGACTTCCTTTCCCCATGGGAATGTCTTGGTGTCTTTGTCAAAAATCAACTATGCTTGTATGGGTCTATTTAATATTTTCTATTCTGTTTTATGGATCTATTTGTTTATCCTTATGCTAATACCATATTATCAATTATTCCAGTAGTTTTAAAGTCTTGAAGTCAATTAATGTATGACAACTTCCTATTCTTTAAGATTGTTTTAGATATATAAATTCCTTAAACCTTTCTAAACAGATTTTACAATCATCTTGCAATTTCTATAAAAAATCTTGTTGAGGTTTTAATTGGGAATGTACTGAATCTATGGACCAATTTGGGAGAAGTGATATTCTAGGAAGTTTCAATATTCTTAACAATATCAAGACTTTGAATAGAAAAACATGGCATATCCCCATTTAATTTTATTCAGCAGTAATTTCCAGTAAATAAGTCTTAAATGTCTCTTTATTCCTAATTGTGTATGTTTTAACGCAAATGAAATTCTTATGAGCTTATTTTCCAATTTTTGCTGTTGTATTATAAATATAATTGATTCTGAGAGTAATTTGGTAGATTCTTTACGACTGTCTACATAAATAATGTCTTGGAGTGAAAACACTTTTTTTGTATTATTTTCTCATGAATGAATGTTGAATTTTGTAAGGTGATGTCTCTGAACCTACTATGACTATAAGGTTGTTAATATAGTGATTGATTTTTCAAATGTTTCACTAACTGTGCATGCCTGAGATAAACCTTACTTGGTCATAATGTATATGGAGTACAGTACAGATAATATTGCTTTATTTGATTCACTAGGCTGTAATTTTCTCTCCTTGTAATGCCCTTGTCAGATTTTTGGTTTGGGGCTATGCAGGCTTTATAAAATGAGACTGAATGTGATTCTTTCTCCTATATTTTCTGATAGTTTGTGTAAAATTGGTATATATTCCTTAAATGCTTCATAAAATTTATGAGTAAAACTATCTGAACTTGGAGTGTCCTAAAAAAAAAAAAAAAAAAGGTTTTCTGATAAAATTTGTGTAAAACTGGTATTAATTTTCCTTAAATATTTCATAGAATTCACTAATAAAACTATCTGGACTTGGAGTTCTCTACAAAGAAAGGTTTTTTGTGTGAATTTAATTTAGTAAATTTTAGGGATTTTTCTCACATCCAACAAATGATTCTTTTAAAAGAAACTAGAAATCAAAAATAACGAAGTTTACCTTTTATATTTACCCATATATTCATAATTTCAGGTGATTTCATTTCTTCCTTTAGATGTAAGTTCCCCCTACTGTTACTTTCTTTGGCCAGCATTCCTTACAGCACAAGTCTGTGACTTTCTGCTGGAGTAGTAATCACCAGCTCCTGCAGACTAGAGGGAGCCCTAAGGTGATAGCTATTTACAGACAGATCTGGGCCAGTCCAGGTTCACCTCCTTCAAAGGTTGAAGCATTCCCTCCAGTTTCTGTTTACTTTCTAGGACTCTCTAGTACTTAAATTTTTAACTATGGAAGGGTTAGCCTGCCTGATACAGGTTCTTCCACCCTTTCTGGAGACCAGAATTCCTCTGAAGTTTCTATTTTTGATTCAGTGGTAGTACTAATTAACAAAGAATGCTAAATTCTGTCATTAATTTTAGAATATTCCATCACAGGCTTATACAAAAGCATCATAGAAACTCTGTAAGTATAATGTAAGTGTAAAATGGGGCTAGATAAGCTAACCTTACTAGATTTATCTTCATAAATTTGGCTACAGTTTTTACTCCTCCATTTTCAAATAACTAAAAAAATGTTAAACATTGTTAAAAAAAATCTTGCAATAACAAGAGACTTCCCTATGACTAACATTAAGATACTCTGGCTGTAATTATTCCAGCAATGCTAATTCCAAAAGCATATCAGGAAAAACAGTCAAATGACTTACTGAAATTTAGATTATCTGGTGTCATTTTTGAACTGTCAAATCAAGTGTGTGTCTATGAAGAAAATAAGTTAGTGTTAAATGCACCTTTTTTTTTCATTAGTATGATGACTCTATGGAATTGTATACATTGGAAATTATATATTCTTTTTTAAAAATGAGAGGATAATAAATGCATTTGTCTAGAAATATATAAATAATATCTGTGTGTGTGTGTATGTGTGTGTATCAATCTCAGGAATTATAAAGGAGTGTGTGTCCATCTCATCTACTGTAAAGGCTGCATAGTATTTAATAGATATATAATAATTTGTTTAACACATTAACTAATGAGCATTTAGGTAGTATTTTAGATTTTGTTTATATAAAACAATGCTTCAATAAACATCACTGCACATATTTCTTTGCTTACCTGTCTGATATTTTTCTTAAGATAAATTCTTAGAGTTTTTAAGTAAATTATATAAGCATATACATGCATGCACATATGTGTATGTATTTGTGTACAGTTGTGCCCATTTACACTCCTAGAAAGATGATGGGATAGTTTAGTTCCTGGTGCTTTTGCCAAAAAGCAGCTATTATCAAGTTTTTTAACATTTGCCAACTGGAGAGTTTTTAACAATGACAATATAATGCAATTTTAATTTGCGTTCTTGTTGTAGTGTGTTGGCCATTTTAGTTCTTTTGTGAAGTTCATGATTTGTAGTTTTTCTTCTACCAGGTTATCTGTCTTTTTCTTAGTAGGTTTTTAATGGAGGTTAATGGGCTCTTTGTCTACCCTAACAACATAGCGCTTTTAGGTAGGGCCTGCTGGATTTGAACTCCGAACCCCAGCACCACCACATCCTAGTTAGAGAAAGGGAGAAAGAAAGAGGGAGAGAGGGAAAAATCGATGGATTGCCTCCCGTATGTACCCTAACCAGGCACTGAACCCACCACCTTCTAGTGCATGGGACAATGCTCCAAACAACTAAGCCACACTGGCAAGGGAAACAATAGTTATTTTTAAAGTATATATGGTAAAGGGATGTGACTTTCATTTGATATAACAAAGACAATACTGAAACTGTGTCAGTTATTCTCTTGCAGTTCACTTTTCTTTGCTAATCTCACTCCTACACATTTTCCTTCTATCCTTCACCTTTTAGTACCAATAATTAGGTCTTATGTAGAAGTGCCCAGATTTCTTAACTAAATTTTTTGATGATGGTCACAAAGTCATTGCATAACTATTGAAGTCTATTATATCTATGTAATAAAGCAGTATCGTAAGAAGCAAGTATGCATTACTAAAAATGATCAAATAATATAAGGTTTAATTAATTATTCTCTGGAATTTAAAAATAAATAAGTCATTAAGTATTATTAACTAAAAAGTGTAATAAATTCCAAACTATCAAGAAATGGGTTTAAGCCAACGGTTCTCAACCTGTGGGTCGCGACCCCTTTGGCGGTCCAACGACCCTTTCACAGGGGTTGCCTAAGACCATCCTGCATATCAGATATTTACATTACGATTCATAACAGTAGCAACATTACAGTTATGAAGTAGCAACGAAAATAATTTTATGGTTGGGTCACAACATGAGGAACTGTATTTAAAGGGCCAGAAGGTTGAGAACCACTGGAGCTAATAAAAAGTTACAATCATACTATAATCCTTTAGTAAATATAAGAAATGTGAATTTTTAAAAAAAGCACTTTAAGCATATTTTAATTGATAAAGAGCATATCCATATTTATTACTCTAGATAGATTAGACTATTTTTAGAGAACTAGGATAACTTGAAACCATTTACCTGTTGGAGGCAGGCAGTCTTTCCAATCAAAATAGCCTGCATAAATTCCAGGTTCTAAGGAGCCAACAATGGGATCTGCTTTCAACTCAATGTAATTTTCAAACAGTCTTTGGTCTAATTCTTTCAATGAGGCCATGCTAACCTAAATAATAAAGAGTAATTATAAGTTGTCATTTGAGGGTGGAAAAAAAGGAAATAATGTAAATTTAAAATTACTTCAGCATATTTTAAAAGTACTTATCAATTTTCCTAAAAAAATCACATCTTTATTTTATTCATGTTCAGTAATAAAGATCACGCTTAGCACGACTATTCAATAAAATAAGAATGAATCCCCATGTGTGGACTACAGGTCTTTTACAGAATGTCCGGCCCACGTGTACTGGGAGTTGAGCAGGGCGAGGAGGTTAGTGAGCATCCGTCTAACCAGTCTATGCCAAGTCTCACGGGTACCCAAGAGGCCAAGCAGTTACAGTGGGTGCATGGAGCACTAAGGGTGGAAAGTGAGGAGTCTGGGCCTAGGTTCCTCTTCAGTGGACTGGCGGTCTAGCTGCTTCCACACCACTGACCCAGGAAACACAAGCGTCTCTCCAACAACACACCTGAACTTCAAGAAGTTAATGTTGAAAAACAAGCGCACACCTAGTGAGTCTTGCAGCTATAAATGAGAATATCTGCCAAGGAGGGAATTCAGCTGTAGGAGAGAAAAGCAACCACTTGAACTTAGAAAAATACTGAAAACCCTTAAGGAGGTTAAAGTATAATATAAAAAAGACTTCATGAAGATAAAATACATGATTTCATCAGCTAACAACTGACTATATTAATTGATGAAATTGCTGGTCACTACTAAGATTGAAATTAAGTGCAATTAAGTACTTCAAAGCATAGAGTAAAAATGTAAAGAGGTGGATATTATGAAGGAAGAGACTCAGAAGACAGATCCAAGAGCTCTAATATACAAAAAAAAAGAAAGAAAGAAAGAAAGAAAGAAAGAAAGAAAGAAAGAAAGAAAGAAGAGAAAAGAAAAGAATTAAGTAGAGAACTATGAGCAGTTAGAGAAGAGGTAATAAATATCTGAATAGGCTTGCTGACTTCCAGGCTAGACTGTAAAGACACAGCTAGGCAAATACTATTAAAAGTACCAATTTTCTAAAATAATAAGAGAAACTCTTTTAGGCTTCCAGATTAAAACAAATAATTTACCTATAAGAGAAAAAAATCAGTCTGTTATCGGCTTTTCTCAGATGCAATACTGGAACCTGAAATCACTGGAATAATATCTACAGGAATAAAAGAAATGCAACCCAAGAGTCCTATATTTAGCTAAGATATCATTAACAGAGTCCAAGAAACTTATTTTTGAATATGTGAAGATTCAAAGAATATATCACCCATGTAACCTAAGAAAGGGCTCTCTCCCAAAAGCAAATATATCAGACTGAGAAGGATGAACAATTGAGGAAAAGTAGTAGGGAATGAACCTTAAGCTCCCTTCCAGCCTCCTTCATCCCTCTTTTTCTCTAATATTTAGAAATATAAACTTAAATGATGATTGGAGATATTCTGGGAATGATACAAGTGCTAATTCTTGAAAGAGGAGAGGCATCCAAAAAGGAAATATTAATAAGAAGCGACAATGACAATGAAAATACAACATATCAAAATCTGTGTGACAGAGGTAAAGCAATGGGTTTTATTGCCAAAAACATCCCTCAGAAAGATTTAAAAGAAAATAACTCAAAATTAAAATTTTTATCTTTTACCTTCAATAGCTAGAAAGAGAAAATTGAACTCAAAAAAGTATAATAATTAAAGATAAGACCAGAAATCAATTAAATTTTTAAAAAGATTAATATGAGAAAACCAATAATGCCAAAAATAGGCTTTTGAAAGGGATATTATAGTTTTATGTAATCTGTCAACACAGAGGAAACTGACAAACTCCTGAAAAACACAATCTTCTAAAAATGGCACAAGTAGTCCTATATACTCTAATAGAGTCCATTATTTCAAACTAGAGGCCCAGTGCATGAAAATTCGTGCACTCCGGGGAGTCCCTCTCGCAGTCTGGGACCACTCAGGGGATGTTCACCTGCCAGCTTAGGCCCACTCCCTGGAGGATGGGGACTAAGCTGGCAGTCAGATATCCCTCTGGCAGCCCGGGAGCCCTTGGGGGATGTCTGACTGATGGCTTAGGTCTGTTCCCCGCAGGGAGCAGAACTAAACTGTCAGCTGGACATCTTTAGAGCTGCCGAGGAGGCGGGAGAGGTTTCCGCCACCACCGCGGTGCTAGCAGCCATCAGCCCGGCTTGTGGCTGAGCAGAGGTCCCCCTGTGGGAGCGCACTGACCAGCAGGGGGCAGCTCCTGCATTGAGTGTCTGCCTTCTGGTGGTCAGTGCACATCATAGAAACTGGTCGTTCCAGGTCGTTCCACCCTTAGGGTCAATTTGCATATTACCCTTTTATTATATAGGATGCTCTCATATGAGGAGAACTTCAGGACCAGATGTTTCACTGGTTAATTCTACCAAGCATTTAAGGAAGAAATTATCACATGCAAACCACTACAGACCAGACCCTGAGAATGTTTCCTATTTTTTTTGATGAGGCTAGCAAAACCATGATATAAAAAACTGTCAAGAATACTGTAAGCGAGGAAAACCAAGATGGCGGCATAGGTAAACACCGGAAATTGCTGCCTCCCACAACAAATTCAAAAATACAACTAAAAGACAAAACCGACATCATCCAGAACCACAGGAAGGCTGGCTGAGTGGAAATTCTACAACTAGAAGAAAAGAGAAAAGCACACTGAGACTCAGAGGAGGTGCGGAAGTGCAGAGGTACAGAGGCGCATGCAGCAAGGGCTGGCAACTGAGGATGCGGCTGTTCTTTTTGAATCGGGAGGGAGTCACAAGCCCCCGACAGCTCTGAACTCCAGTTCCGGGTGAGTCTCTGGGGATCCAGACTAATACAGGTAGAAACTGGACTGTCTGGCAGCGGGCAGAACTCGGAATTCAAGGGTGGCTTTCTCTCAAAGGTGCATGCAGCGATTACCAGGACACTGAGACACGGGGCCCTTTAGGGCAGGGCTGAGGATCAGCCATAGCTGCTTGCTACACCCTGTTGATTCCCTGAGACCCCGCCCCACCCAAGCTGCAGCACAGGCTTTTGCATATGAATGCCCTGGCCCTTTGTAATCTGAAAATTACCTAACAAACTGCAGCTGGGCCAGACAGATCCAGAACTTCCAAGAGAAGGCTCAAGGCCGCACAGCAGCTTGCATTGCTTCACAGCTGGGCCTCATTTGGGCACCTCCAAACCCCAAACAAGGAAGGGGAATCTGCAGATCTCTTCATAGCTCCTGCTGGGTAGCCTCAGGCAGAGGCTAAATTAGCACCTCCTTAGATACAAGAGCCAGCGAACCCAGTGGTCAGAGTGGGACCATCCAATTACAACTCCTCAGATCCATAAGGGACACACTCAGGCAGCAGACTCAGTGAGCACCAAAGCCCCACTGAAGCATGTCTTGCCTCATAAGGGTGTCTTCAGCACAGAAGTTCTCCCACTGTAGACACAGCTGACACTCACAGCCAATTGGCCTGGAGGTCAATTCTTCCCAGTGATACCTACAACAATCAAGGCTTAACTACAACAAGACTGTGCACAAAGCCCACAAAGGGGTGTACCAAGAGTGTCCACCTCAGGTAATTGGGGAGGCTGAGCCACTGGGCCCTATAGGACACCTAGCACACAAAGCCACTCTACCAACACAGGGAAGCATAAAGAATGCGGAGACAAAGAAACAAGTCACAAATGACAAAAATGGAGGAAAGCAAACGACTGGATATAGAATTCAAAACAACACTTTTAAGGTTTTTCAAGAACTTTCTAGAAACTGCCAATAAATTTAGTAAGACCCTCAAAACGACTGGTGAGACCGCTGATAAATGTAGTGAGACCCTCAAGAAATCTAGTGTGACCCTCGAGGTTATGAAAAAGGACCAACTAGAAATTAAGCATACACTGACTGAAATAAAGGATATTATGCAGAGTTCCAACAGCAGACTAGAGGATTGCAAGAATCAAGTCAAAGATTTGAAATACGAAGAAGCAAAAAAACACCCAAGCGGAAAAGCAAAATGAAAAAAGAATCCAAAAATACGAAGATAGTGTAAGGAGCCTCTGGGACAGCTTCAAGCGTACCAACATCAGAATTATAGGGGTGCCAGAAGAAGAGAGAGCGAAAGATACTGAAAACCTATTTGAAGAAATAATGACAGAAAACTTCCCCTACCTGGTGAAAGAAATAGACTTACAAGTCCAGGAAGCACAGAGAACCCCAAACAAAAGGAATCCAAAGAGGACCACACCAAGACACATCATAATTAAAATGCCAAGAGCAAAAGATAAAGAGAGAATCTTAAAAGCAGCAAGAGAAAGACAGTCAGTTACCTACAAGGGAGTCCCCATACGACTGTCAGCTGATTTCTCAACAGAAACTTTGTAGGCCAGAGGGAGTGGCAAGAAATATTCAAAGTGATGAATGCCAAGAACCTACAACCAAGATTACTTTATCCAGCAAAGCTATCATTCAAAACTGAAGGTCAGATAAAGAGCTTCATAGATAAGGAAAAGCTAAAGGAGTTCATTACCACCAAACCAGTATTATATGAAATGCTGAAAGGTATCCTTTAAGAAGAGGAAGAAGAAGAAGAAAAAGGGAAAGATACAAATTATGAACAACAAAATACACATCTATCAACAAGTGAATCTAAAAATCAAGTGAATAAATAATCTGATGAACCGAATAAACTGGTGATTATAATAGAATCAGGGGCATAGAAAGGGAGTGGACTGACTATTCCTGGGGGGTGGGGGAGGGGTGTGGGGGATGCGGGAAGAGACTGGACAAAAATCGTGCACCTATGGATGAGGACAGTGGGGGGGGGCAGGTGAGGGCCGAGGGTAGGGGGGGGAACTGGGTGGAGGGGAGCTATGGGGGGAAAAAAAGAGGAACAACTGTAATAATCTGAACAATAAAGATTTAATTAAAAAAAAGAATACTGTAAGCAAAGAAAATTACAGACCAATAGGCCTCATGAACAAAGACATAAACATCCTAACAAAATGTTGGAA